AAAACTCAGATGAGTGTGTATAAATAAATGTGTACATGTATATGTAGTGTGACCTAAGTGTAAGTAGAAGTAGCAAGACATACCTGTAATCTTGCATATTTATGAGACAGACAAAAGACATCAGCAATCCTACCATCATGTAAAACAATTACAGGCTTTCGTTCTACACTCACTTGGCAGGACGGTAGTACATACCTCCCTGGGTGGTTGCTGTCTACCAACCTACTACCTACCTGTATTTGCATATACCTGAATAATCTTACTGATGACCTCAATGAGTTGGAGATCCACTCTTGATCTTTCTTCTATGAGGTTGGTATTTAGTATAGTGACTTGCTCTCAAAAGTGATTAATGGTGTGCTCAGTTTCAGTGTGGTTGTTATTTTGTTGGTCTATTGGGTGTATTTTGCCTTCTTGAGTTGTGATTCTGTTAAGGAGTTGAGTGTTGGCGGTTTTTAGTTGTTGTACTTCCTGGGTGAGCATGTCGTTTGTTGTTCTTAATTCCTGCATTTCTCAGGTTATTGTGGCGATTTTTTGCCCCTGTGTCTTGATGAATTTAGCCATCTCCGGGTCTTGCAATACAATACAATACAAAGGGTTAATACAAATTAACCATTTCTCCTGTATAAATTACGTACTAAATTTAAAAAGAAAAACTTTTGTTTTTCTTTATAGGTCATCCTGGCTCGGTGGGATATTGCTGGTTCATGGAAAAAAATACAAATAAAAATTAATTACGTTTGCGAATTGAAATTCTGTTTATTTCTGCGACAGTGGACCCCCGGATATCATAGTCATTGGATTTTGTAATAGTCAGTAATCGTAATTTTTTTTTTCGTCAAAATATTGGCGTGGTGATCGTCATTTACCTCAGTAATAGTCATTCATCCCGAACTCATCCGAGCAGCCTGACACCATTTACAGTCAGTGTGCCATTGTTTATCAGCTAGTGAGCATGATCCCACACATTCATACGATACATTTTGTAATATTCCATTTGTTTTAGTGCTTGCAACTGCTAAATAAGCCACCAAGGGCCAAAAGAAAGCTCCTAGTGCCAGCCCTTTGGTAAAGAAGGCGATAAACACGATAGAATTCAAGAAAGAACACACCAGCCAGGGTACTTCCTCACACACCAGACAGGGTACTTCCCCACACACATGATTTGATTTGAGTGGGACTTATGCATAAGTGAATAGAATTATCAAAGCTTATTGCTTGGGAAGCATTGAAAATTGGGTTGGGCAAATATTCTGTTATTGGGATGGTTTGTGAAGGACCTGCCTAGTATGGGCCAACAGGTCTGCTGCATTGTTAATGCTTTCTTATGTACACCAGCCAGGGTACTTCCCCACACACACCAGCCAGAGCACTTCCCCACACACCAGCCAGGGTACTTCCCCACACACCAGACAGGGTAGTTCTCCACATATACATAATTTGATTTGAGTGGGACTTGCGCATGAGTGAATAGAATTCTTCTTTCTTTCAACACACTGGCCGTATCCCACCGAGGCGGGGTGGCCCAAAAGGAAAAACGAAAGTTTCTCCTTTTACATTTAGTAATATGTACAGGAGAAGGGGTTAGTAGCCCCTTGCTCCTGGCATTTTAGTTGCCTCTTACAACACGCATGGCTTACGGAGGAAGAATTCTGTTCCACTTCCCCTTGGAGATAAGAGGAAATAAACAAGAACAAGAACTAGAAAGAAAACAGGAGAAAACCCAGAGAGGTGTGTGTATATATATATATCTTCTTTCTTTCAACACACTGGCCGTATCCCACCGAGGCAGGGTGGCCCAAAAGGAAAAACGAAAGTTTCTCCTTTTACATTTAGTAATATGTACAGGAGAAGAGGTTACTAGTCCCTTGCTCCCGGCATTTTAGTTGCCTCTTACAACACGCATGGCTTACGGAGGAAGAATTCTATTCCACTTCCCCATGGAGATAAGAGGAAATAAACAAGAATAAGAACTAGAAAGAAAATAGAAGAAAACCCAGAGGGGTGTGTATATATATGCTTGTATATGTATGTGTAGTGTGACCTAAGTGTGAGTAGAAGTAGCAAGACATACCTGAAACCTTGCATGTTTATGAGACAGAAAAATGGACACCAGCAATCCTACCATCATGTAAAACAATTACAGGCTTACATTTTACACTCACTTGGCAGGACGGTAGTACCTCCCTGGGCGGTTGCTGTCTACCAACCTACTACCTAGAAGTGAATAGAATTATCAAAGTTTATTGCTTGGGGAGCGTTGAAAATTGGGTTGGTTAGTGGAATGGTTTGTAAAGGACCTGCCTAGTATGGGCAAACAGGCCTGCTGCAGTGTTCCTGCTTTCTTATGTTTTTATGTACACCAGCTGAGGAAATTGCTTTAGAGGAGGAAAAAGAGAGAGGGAAGGAGGTGCCTTCAAAGATTAAGGACATTTATGCAAAGTGGAGTGAGGTGCAAACATTTGTGGGGGAACATCACCCTAAACCTCTCCCCTCTTCCCATCTTCCATACACCAACAAGAGTCTTCAATAAAGTTAAGTGTGATATTATTGTTTTATACTCGATTTTCATTCTTTTCTGTATGTAACTCTATATTTAATCTATAAAAAATAATTTTTGTTAATACTTTTGGGTGTCTGGAACGGATTAATGGATTTACATTATTTCTTATTGGAAAAATGAATTCAGATATCATCAAATTCGGCTTTTGTCACACTCTTTGGAATGGATTAATTATGATAACCAGGGGTCCACTGTATTTGAATTTACTGAACAAGAGAAAATTCTAAAATCAAAATTTCAGAATTATGGAATTCTTGAAGTTGGAATTATTTTAAATTCCACATCTTAATTTTGAGAATGTATCTGATTCATACTTTTCCAAAATTATAAGTACTGTATGGTACTGCCCTATTTATTTTTAAATTTAGATTTTGGAATTTTCCTTTCTTCAGAAAAAATACAGAGAAAATTATGAATTTCACTAGTCATTATAAATCAATATGATTTATGAATAAAAGAAATTTCCTTGTTCTGTTATTCAGATTTTTCTGTAATACAGACACAAAGTACAGATTAGTCTGAAACAGCGAGAACTGTACTTACTATACAGTGGACCCTCAGTTAGTGGCCATTCTGGATATCGGCCAGTTCGGATTTTAGCCTCTTTTTAGGCCGAAATTCTGTCCCGGTTTTCGGCCGTCATTTCGGAGATCTGCTGTATTGAACGCATAATAATAACCACCCTTAGGCACATTAAATGTCTTATTTTAGGTTAATATAGACATTTTCTTTAATCCATCTACAATATTTTCTTCAAAATTTTATAAGAAACACATTACATAGCATATAGCATGTAAACATAGCGTATAAACATGCAATGTTTATATGCTATCGAGTGGTGAGTACCGGTGAATCAAGGAGGAGGGAGAAAGTTGGAGGGTAAGCATTATGTTTTCTCTGATTCAGCCTTAGAGAAAACTGTGAATCTGGCATCTGGTCCAGTCACTGCCCTTCATAAGTGTTTGTTTACAATTCTCAGCATGAATTATTCATTACTTCTCCCTTTGTTTATTATGCCATCTAAAGGTAGTTGATAGAAACAATTAAACTCAGTGAACATGGTATATCGATGTAATAATATGGCTGTGTAGTGTAGCCCAGGGGGGCTACATAGGTGTAGCTACATCTACCGGCTACCTACACTGAATTCCTACAAATAAATACTACTCACCTCTCACCATACATCAAGACTACAAATGTTTTAAGGTAAGTAAAGAATGTACTGTGGCAGTAAAAGACAAAGAAGAGAAGTAACCCTAGATAAGGCTTTGATACCTGAAGTCCTTATGGAGGGGGATTCCCAACTCCCTCTTCCCTCCTCGCCTTTAATACACCAACAAGATTCTTCAATAAAGGTATGTAATGCTCAGTTATCATTAAAATTTGTGCTTTATATTTATTTCTCATTGTTTTGTGTATGTAAAACTATAGTTATTCTCTATAATTTTTTTTTTCAACAAGTCGGCCATCTCCCACCGAGGCAGGGTGACCCAATAAGAAAAAAAAAAATAAAATACTTTCATCATCATTGAACACCTTCACCTCACTCACACATAATCACTGTCTTTGCAGGGGCACCCAGATACAACAGTTTAGAAGTATATATAACATACCCTTCCAAATTGCCAGTTTCTCAAACCCCTCCTTTAAAGTGCATGCATTGCACTTCTCATTTCCAGTACTCAAGTCTGGCTATATAAAAATAACTGGTTTCCCTGAATCCCTTAACTAAATATTACCTTGCTCACACTCCAACAGCTCGTCAGGTCCCAAAAACCATTCATCTTCATTCACTCCTATCTAACACACTCACACATGCTTGCTGGAAGTCCAAGCCCCTCACCCACAAAACCCCCTTTACCCCCTCCCTCCAACCTTTTTGAGGAAGACCCCTACCCCACCTTCCTTCCCCTACAGATTTATATGCTCTCTAAATGACCAAACCACCTCAACAGCCCCTCTTCATCCCTCTGACTAATACTTTTAGTAACTCCACACCTCCTCCTAATTTCCAAAATCCTAATTCTCTGCATAATATTTACACTACACATTGCCCTTAGACAGGACATCTCCACTGCCTCCAGCCACCTCCTTGATGCAGCATTTGTAACCCAAGCTTCACACCCATATAAGAGTGTTGGTACCACCATACTTTCGTACATTCCCTTCTTTGCCTCCATGGATAACATTTTTTGTCTCCACAGATACCTCAGTGCACCACTCACCTTTTTTCCTTCATCATTTCTATGGTTAACCTTATTCTTCATAAATCCATCTGCTGACAAGTCGACTCCCAATTATCGGATTTAGGCCGACCTTCTGGAATGGATTACGGCTGATGACCGAGGGTCCACTGTATTTGTAATAAGACAAGAGGTTACTTGAGGCCAAGAACTTTTATTCTTTCATGCTACTGATCTGCATTTTATTTCAACAGGATGCCTCAATTAGTAGCCTTGATTCTGAAGTTGATTTTGGCGAATTACTGGGTGGCATGAGTGAAGGTCTTGAAGAGCAAAATATGGCTAAAATATCAGAAGTTAAAGTTATGGTAGAGCAAGGTGAGTAAAAGTTTATTGTATTAGCCTTCAGTATGGAAAGCAGCTTAAGCATTTAAAGGATCACACTAGTTACCACAGAGTACCAAAAACAGTTGCCCCAGAATTACCACCAAGACCCTAAACCCAAAAATAAAATGTAATAACATTAATATATAATAATAATAATTTTATTAATAATAATTTTATTTTAGCATGATACATGTTTGTACAAAGGAGTATAATAATTAAGTGTACATGCCAAAAGCCCTTTTATATGCAGAGCAATATAATACAAGAGAATTGAATATTCTATTAGATCATGTTGACTTTTTTGGGTTATCCCAGGTTCTTTACACATATGCTGCTATGTATGATAACCTATGTAACTGTATTTGTATGTACCTGAATAAACTTACTTACTTACTAGTGGAGCCTTGGCTTATGAGTGCCCCACCATATGAGTTTTTCAGGATACAAGCAGTCTCTCAGTCGATTTTTTGTTTCTGGATACTAGCAAAAACTCAGGGCGAAACGTTGCCACAATAAATGTCACATTAGTTGCACTTGTGTCCTTTTACTTTACATATTGTCGGTAATTCTACCAACTTTTTTTTTTAGACCTCCAGATCTTACATTGTTGTGATGTATTAGGTTGTTTTTACTGCTTAAGACTATAAGTGCAACAGAAATAATAGTATTCCTTACCTTAAATTGTGAGTGCTGGTGTTTGTGGATGATTGTGAAGAGTGTGGAGAGTTATGCTGTGGTCCTACTGGGCTGAGGTGGATGGTAGAGGTTCTGGTACTGAAGTCGATGGTTATACTGGAGTGTGCATAAATTCTGTAATGGATTTCTGTTCTATTTTACCCTGCAGTACATTATACAACTGATGGTGAGGCATCAGCTGCTCTAGACACCTTTTCAGGGTCCTCTTTAGTGAAAAAGTCTGACTTTAAGTCATTCAGTCAGTCAAGTCATTCAGTCAGTCAAGTCATTCATTCAGTCAAGTCATTCATTCAGTCAAGTCATTCATTCAGTCAAGTCATTCATTCAGTCAGTCAGTCAGTCAGTCAGTCAGTCAGTCAGTCAGTCAAGCCAGTAAGCCAGTCAGTCAAGTCAGTAAGTCAATCAGTCAAGTCAGTAAGTCTTTCAGTCAAGTCAGTAAGAGATAAGTAAGTCATTCAGCAACACTGGTATGCCTACTGGGTGTCATGATTGCTTGGTAGATACAAGATATGGTAATTAAAAGATCAAAACACAATTCATAAGCACAGCTAGCGTGTAGCAGAGAAGTGAAACTGAACACGTAAGCTGGGATGGTGGTGTCGAGTGTCAGGGTATGGCGGGAGGTCTCCCCCTCTGACCCACAACAAGGCGGCTGCTTGAGATAGGGAATGGCCGCCACCACTTGTCACATAATGACATACTTTATTCATTCTAGAGTATATATCGGGTTTCTAAGTTATTTATATTGTTTATTATGTCATATTAGATGAACTTCGATAGATAATAAGCCGTAGAGTTGATATTAGCATCATATTCCTGCCTACGGAGAGCAGGAATTCTGCTGGAACAGATTAATCACATTTCAATTAATTTAAATGAGGAAAATTGACTCAGCATACGAGCAGATCGGGATACGAGCAAGGTCACAGAACGGATTAAACTCATAAGCTGAGGTTCCACTGTATATGGCTTTAACCCTTAAACGGTTCAAACGTATATATACGTTCACTTGCGTAGTGCCCCAAATTTTTTGAGGAAAAAAAAATCTTTTCTTTTAAAAGGAAAAAAGAGCATATGGTACCCAGGCATCCCCAATTATTTTAATATGGCGCACAGTGAGTGCGCACACCCATTCTCTCATGTCTAGGTGACTCAGGCTTATTGTGGCAATTTTGAATGAATGACAAAGAAAACGTACATATACGTTTGGGGCGCTACGCGCGTGAACGTATATATACTTTTGGACCGTTTAAGGGTTAATAAGTTTGGTAGAGAAAAATTACAGTTTTGTTTATTAACAGCATATCACAGTATGCTCTAGGCCTTTCATGTTGCAATCAGCACATCTTAGGAGCTTGCAATGTTGCAGAAATAGAGTAAGAAATCCTGGATTTCCTGCTCTACTTCTGCAACTTGCAGTCTCCTGGTGATGTGTTGATTGCAACACAAAAGGCCTAGAGCTATCATTCAACTCCCGTTGTGGTTATTTTGCATTTTTTTATTGCTCATTCTTGATTATTGCACATCACAGTATAAAATGAAAAATTTTAATTAATTCTATCCTAGCCCATTATTAATCCCCTTATAAAAATGGAAGGAGAAAAGAGAATATGAATGTGTAAATGCAATAATTATGTAGATTAAAGTAAAGGTTGGATGCGAGAAGTGGGTCATAATAAGCCTGTATGCACCTGGAGAAGAGAGGAATGCAGAGGAGAGAGAGAGATTTTGGGAGATGTTAAGTGAATGTATAGGAGCCTTTGAACCAAGTGAGAGAGTAATTGTGGTAGGGGACCTGAATGCTAAAGTAGGAGAAACTTTTAGAGAGGGTGTGGTAGGTAAGTTTGGGGTGCCAGGTGTAAATGATATTGGGAGCCCTTTGATTGAACTTTGTATAGAAAGGGGTTTAGTTATAGGTAATACATATTTTAAGAAAAAGAGGATAAATAAGTATACAAGATATGATGTAGGGCGAAATGACAGTAGTTTGTTGGATTATGTATTGGTAGATAAAAGACTGTTGAGTAGACTTCAGGATGTACATGTTTATAGAGGGGCCACAGATATATCAGATCACTTTCTAGTTGTAGCTACACTGAGAGTAAAAGGTAGATGGGATACAAGGAGAATAGAAGCATCAGGGAAGAGAGAGGTGAAGGTTTATAAACTAAGAGGAGGCAGTTAGGGAAAGATATAAACAGCTATTGGAGGATAGATGGGCTAATGAAAGCATAGGCAATGGGGTCAAAGAGGTATGGGGTAGGTTTAAAAATGTAGTGTTAGAGTGTTCAGCAGAAGTTTGTGGTTACAGGAAAGTGGGTGCGGGAGGGAAGAGGAGCGATTGGTGGAATGATGTTGTAAAGAGAGTAGTAAGGGAGAAAAAGTTAGCATATGAGAAGTTTTTACAAAGTAGAAGTGATGCAAGGAGGGAAGAGTATATGGAGAAAAAGAGAGAGGTTAAGAGAGTGGTGAAGCAATGTAAAAAGAGAGCAAATGAGAGAGTGGGTGAGATGTTATCAACAAATTTTGTTGAAAATAAGAAAAAGTTTTGGAGTGAGATTAACAAGTTAAGGAAGCCTAGAGAACAAATGGATTTGTCAGTTAAAAATAGGAGAGGAGATTTATTAAATGGAGAGTTAGAGGTATTGGGAAGATGGAGGGAATATTTTGAGGAATTGTTAAATGTTGATGAAGATAGGGAAGCTGTGATTTCGTGTATAGGGCAAGGAGGAATAACATCTTGTAGGAGTGAGGAAGAGCCAGTTGTGAGTGTGGGGGAAGTTCGTGAGGCAGTAGGTAAAATGAAAGGGGGTAAGGCAGCCGGGATTGATGGGATAAAGATAGAAATGTTAAAAGCAGGTGGGGATATAGTTTTGGAGTGGTTGGTGCAATTATTTAATAAATGTATGGAAGAGGGTAAGGTACCTAGGGATTGGCAGAGAGCATGCATAGTTCCTTTGTATAAAGGCAAAGGGGACAAAAGAGAGTGCAAAAATTATAGGGGGATAAGTCTGTTGAGTATACCTGGTAAAGTGTATGGTAGAGTTATTATTGAAAGAATTAAAAGTAAGACTGAGAATAGGATAGCAGATGAACAAGGAGGCTTTAGGAAAGGTAGGGGTGTGTGGACCAGGTGTTTACAGTGAAACATATAAGTGAACAGTATTTAGATAAGGCTAAAGAGGTCTTTGTGGCATTTATGGATTTGGAAAAGGCGTATGACAGGGTGGATAGGGGGGCAATGTGACAGATGTTGCAGGTGTATGGTGTAGGAGGTAGGTTACTGAAAGCAGTGAAGAGTTTTTACGAGGATAGTGAGGCTCAAGTTAGAGTACATAGGAAAGAGGGAAATTATTTCCCAGTAAAAGTAGGCCTTAGACAGGGATGTGTGATGTCACCGTGGTTGTTTAATATATTTATAGATGGGGTTGTAAGAGAAGTAAATGCGAGGGTCTTGACAAGAGGCATGGAGTTAAAAGATAAGGAATCACACATAAAGTGGGAGTTGTCACAGTTGCTCTTTGCTGATGACACTGTGCTCTTGGGAGATTCTGAAGAGAAGTTGCAGAGATTGGTGGATGAATTTGGTAGGGTGTGCAAAAGAAGAAAATTAAAAGTGAATACAGGAAAGAGTAAGGTTATGAGGATAACAAAAATATTAGGTGATGAAAGATTGGATATCAGATTGGAGGGAGAGAGTATGGAGGAGGTGAATGTATTCAGATATTTGGGAGTGGACGTGTCAGCGGATGGGTCTATGAAGGATGAGGTGAATCATAGAATTGATGAGGGGAAAAGGGTGAGTGGTGCACTTAGAGTCTGTGGAGACAAAGAACTTTGTCCTTGGAGGCAAAGAGGGGAATGTATGAGAGTATAGTTTTACCAACACTCTTATATGGGTGTGAAGCATGGGTGATGAATGTTGCAGCGAGGAGAAGGCTGGAGGCAGTGGAGATGTCATGTCTGAGGGCAATGTGTGGTGTGAATATAATGCAGAGAATTCGTAGTTTGGAAGTTAGGAGGAGGTGCGGGATTACCAAAACTGTTGTCCAGAGGGCTGAGGAAGGGTTAAGGTGGTTCGGACATGTAGAGAGAATGGAGCGAAACAGAATGACTTCAAGAGTGTATCAGTCTGTAGTGGAAGGAAGGCGGGGTAGGGGTCAGCCTAGGAAAGGTTGGAGGGAGGGGGTAAAGGAGGTTTTGTGTGCGAGGGGCTTGGACTTCCAGCAGGCGTGCGTGAGCGTGTTTGATAGGAGTGAATGGAGACGAATGGTTTTTAATACTTGACGTGCTGTTGGAGTGTGAGCAAAGTAACATTTATGAAGGGGTTCAGGGAAACCGGCAGGCCGGACTTGAGTCCTGGAGATGGAAAGTACAGTGCCTGCACTCTGAAGGACGGGTGTTAATGTTGCAGTTTAAAAACTGTAGTGTAAAGCACCCTTCTGGCAAGACAGTGATGGAGTGAATGATGGTGAAAGTTTTTCTTTTTCGGGCCACCCTGCCTTGGTGGGAATCGGCCAGTGTGATAAAAAAAAAATAAAAAAATAAAAAAAAAATAAATAAAAATGGCAGATTTAAAACTTTCCTCTTACTCTGTTGCTACAACATCTTTGTATTTTACAGGTTTAAGTGTATTCCTGTCTTCTTGCAACCACCAGGAGGGCTGGTTAGAGCTGGCAGAAATGCGTGCGAAACAGTATGGTCAGCTTGCACAGTTACTTCTCAGTTATATTCCCCGTTATGCTCAGCAAGAGTCAACACATGCCACTGCACTCTCTCTTCAATACCTTGCCAAGCATCACTTTTCAGTATGCCAGTAATTTTATAAATACTGTACTTAGTCTAAGTCTTAATCATAAATAACCCACATTTTAGAAAGGGAATTTTTTTAGATAACATTTTAGTCCATAATGTGATGTGATAATGCTCCAGGACAGATCAAAACATTGTCTAAAGTTTCCTGTCTAAATTTTGGATTAATTGTGAATTGTTCTGGACATATGCTTTTACATATATATATATATTCACTTGCACACTCACATAAGTGTTTGTGTGTCAGAGGTGGTTTGGGCATTCACAGAGGATGGAGAGGGATAAGATAATGAAAAGGGTATACAAATCTGGGTGGAAAGTGGGAAGAAGGAAGGAAGGGTAGGGGTCATCCTTGGAAGGGTTGGAAGGAGGGGGTGAAGGAAGTTTTGAGTGCTTGGGGCTTGAGCATCCAGCAGGCTTGTGTCATGTTAGGTCAAAGTGAGTGGAGACAAGTGGTGTTTTTTTAATGCTTGACATGCTGTTGAAGTGTAAGTTATGTTGCATTTATACACGGACTTAAGGAAAAGTAGGTAGCCAGATTTGAGTCCTTGAAGTGAGAAATACCATGCCTGTACTCTGAAGGTGAGGTAGATATTGCAATCAGAGAGTCATCTGAACTGTGATATGAGCACATTACTAGCAAGACAGTGATTGAATGAATGATGGTGAATGTGTTTCCTCTTTTAGGTCACACTGCCTTGGTAGAATATGGCCAGTGAGGTTAAAAAAAAATTATTTTCTCCCCACTTGTAGTGTTTTTCAATTTCTATTTTGAATTATTCCTAAATATTTTATTTTAGAAGATTTTTTTTTTTTAACAAACCGGCTGTATCCCACCAAGGCAGGGTGGCCCAAAAAGAAAAACGAAAGTTTCTCTTTTTAAATTTAGTAATTTATACAGGAGAAGAGGTTACTAGCACCTTGCTCCCGGCATTTTAGTCGCCTCTTACAACACGCATGGCTTACGGAGGAAGAATTCTGTTCCACTTCCCCATGGAGATAAGAGGAAATAAACAAGAACAAGAACTAGAAAGAAAATAGAAGAAAACCCAGAGGGGTGTGTGTATATATATGCTTGTACATGTATGTGTAGTGTGACCTAAGTGTAAGTAGAAGTAGAAAGATGTACCTGAAATATTGCATGTTTATGAGACAGAAAAAAGGACACCAGTAATCCTACCATCATGTAAAACAATCACAGGCTTTCGTTTTACACTCACTTGGCAGGACGGTAGTACCTCCCTGGGCGGTTGCTGTCTACCAACCTACTACCTAGGATTTTAGAAGATGTGAAAGTAAAATGCAATTACAGTGCATTGTTTTTTATAATGATTATTGCATACAGCTAATGGGAAAATATAATAGATTATCATCTTTTTGCTGTTATTTCTCTCTAGTAAGTTTTCCACTAAATAAACAGCTTCGTTGAGTCTTGTCTTTTATTGTTTGCAATCTTTTGTATTCTGTATTCTTTTATACAAGTGATGATTAGTAAGTTCTATAATAAAGTTACTAATTGCAGTTGCTGCTCATATTGTACTTTATTTTCAGAGTATACTAGAAGAGATGAGTAATGTCCTTCAGTACATTGACAGTGACAGCATATCACAGATGGTACTACAGATGACAGAACAGGTGAGAAATATTCACTTTTTTATATTTCAAAATGTTATCTAACCAGTTGAATGAGGAAACATGACAAAGCTTTACTGCTGCAGTATGTTTGTTCTTAATTCATATGCTGCTCTACTTTGTTCCATTCCTAAATTTAGTTATCCTCAAAGTTTTTGTAGTGTGAATGACAGAAAATCAAGACTGACAATATTTTAATATTTCAAAGTTTTCCAGACAGCTAGTTAAATCTTTTCATTTGTGTACACATTTGTCTTCACTCCGAAATCTACATGAATTCCAGCTTTCTTTTCTGACATACCACTATAAGGCTGCATTAATCTTTGATATATGGTCGGGGTTAAGAGATGAAGAATGTAACACAAAATGGGAGTTGTCACAGTTGCTCTTTACTGATGACACTGTTCTTTTGGGAGATTCTGAAGAGAAGTTGCAGAGGTTGGTGGATGAGTTTGGTAGGGTATGTAAAAGAAGAAAATTAAAAATGAATATAGGAAAGAGTATGGTGATGAGGATTTTTTTTTTTTTTTTTTTCAACAAGTCGGCCGTCTCCCACCGAGGCAGGGTGACCCAAAAAAGAAAGAAAATCCCCAAAAAGAAAATACTTTCATCATCATTCAACACTCACCACTCACCACACTCACACATTATCACTGCTTTTGCAGAGGTGCTCAGAATACAACAGTTTAGAAGCATATACGTATAAAGATACACAACATATCCCTCCAAACTGCCAATATCCCAAACCCCTCCTTTAAAGTGCAGGCATTGTACTTCCCATTTCCAGGACTCAAGTCCGACTATATGATGAGGATAACAAAAAAATTAGGTAATGAAAGATTGGATATCAGATTGGAGGGAGAGAGTATGGAGGAGGTGAATGTATTCAGATATTTAGGAGTGGACATGGCAGCAGATGGGTCTATGAAAGATGTGGTGAATCATAGAATTGATGAGGAGGGAAAAGGTGAGTGGTGCACTGAGAAATCTATGGGGACCAAGAACTTTGTCCATGGAAGCAAAGAGGGGAATGTATGAGAGTATAGTGGAGGGAAGGCAGGGTAGAGGTCGGCCTAGGAAAGGTTGGAGGGAGGGGGTAAAGGAGGTTTTGTGTGCAAGGGGCCTAGACTTCCAGCAAGCATGCATGAGCATATTAGATAACAAATGATGACATGATTTTTAGGACCTGACGTGCTGTTGGAGTGTGAGCAGGGTAATATTTATGAAGGGATTCAGGGAAACTGGTAGGCCAGACTTGAGTCCTGGAGATGGGAAGTACAGTGTCTGCACTCTGAAGGAGGGGTGTTAATGCTGCAGTTTTATAACTGTAGTGTAAGCACGTCTCTGGAAGACAGCGGTGGAGTGAATGATGGTGAAAGTTTTTCTTTTTCAGGCCATCCTACCTTGGTGGGAAACGGCCGATGTGTTAATAAAATATAAATAATAAAATATGGTTGTATGATGTAAGTGTAGTTACTGTCCATTTGTTTTGTTAAACTTGATCAGAATGTGTAGCTCCTTGTGTCATGTATTTATTAGAAATCGACAATTTTAAGTAAAATTTTTATGGTTTGTGAGTTAGTTTCATGCATTTATATTAAAATAGCTTGTTTAGGGCTAACACTAAGTCTCTAGTATGTTATAAACAAAAGGCAGCATACATCAGTCTTTGCAAAGCTCATCCAACACAGCAGTACTCACACCAGTTTTTGTTAGGCATGTGAAATGATTTTCATAATTAACACTGTTTTCAAAATTTATTTACCAAAATGCATTGAAATTTGGTTTATGACCATTAGGGGTAGGTATGATCGATTTTGTCAAGAAATTGGAATATTCGTACATGTGTTTCTCTAAAACTGTTATTCAGATTTTTTTGTTGTTGTTGTTAAAAATATATTGATATTTGGTATAAAAGTATTTCTACAAATGTGATGAAAAACGCTACAAGAAAAAGCTAACTCCGTCTCATATGCTAGTTGTCAGGTGCCTGCCTTCTTGTCTACCTGTTTTCAGTTCATTCTCTTGACAGAATCCAGTTAATACTGAATTGTATACGTGCCGTACTGTATCTGTATTAGTGTATGTTTCATAAAATCCAATCATTATTTTTCAATTATTTTACAATTTTTTTCCAGGTATCATTTTACCTACATAGTGTTGACCAGTTGCAGTTGCCACAAGCAGGAAGTGAGAGCGAGGAACTAGCACATCGGCATGAAGTAAGTCTTGCAGCATTCCCTACACTTTTCATATTTTAATTTGTTAACCTGTTAACTGTCCAAACGTAGATCTACGTTCTCTCGCCCAGCGCTCCTAATATTTTGAAAAAAAAAATATTTTTTTTTTATAGAAATAAACAGCGCAGTTTTCTATATGACATAGAATAAAAAGAAAATTAGGGTCAGTATTTATCGAGATATGAGCCCGCGAAGTTGGCACTTGATGATCACCTGACGGCAACATGGAGCCCTGCTGCTTGCAGAAGTGTTGCCAGTATACCTTTTTTCTCATTTTTATATTATTTTATATAATTTTTATGTTGGAGCAAGGGGCTAGTAACCTCTTCTCCTGTATATATTACTAAATGTAAAAGGAGAAACTTTCGTTTTTTCTTCTGGGCCACCCCGCCTCAGGGGGATACGGCCGGTGTGTTGAAAGAAAGAAAGAAGAATTTTTATGTTCTGATAATTACAATTTATAGTAGTTCTTGTGATTTCATAGCAAATCTTTATTCTAACACTAATATTAGGTATTGAAATTGTACTCAAATTGTCACAAACACACTGACAGGTCAACATTTACACCTGCCTTGGTCATTTACTGATGAAAATAAATGGTGTAAAATACCGACACTATGGAAACATAAACACATATGCAGCTTAATGTGATCCTTTATTGACACCGTTTCACCCACACAGTGGGCTTTTTCAAGTCACACACAGATCTACCTGGGGTGGAAGGTACGGGAGTATTTATAGTCAGGTTCAGAATGTTGTGGTCAGGTGGAGAATGCTGCATCTGATGATCTACCGGGTGGGGTTATAGAGTCTTGGGTAGCTTGGCAGGGGTATTGGACAAGTTGTGAGTAGACCTTCTGCAGTGTTCTATGTTTTTATGTGGGATAGCGATGAAGAAGTTTCTTGGCAAGTGGTTCAGCTATGTTATAGAAGCCATTGTTCTGGTTGAAATTGTTGGTTATAGAGATAAGCGATGATTCCAGGATTCTTTGGTATTGAGTGTTGTCTTCTGTGGCGATGAGTCTTGAGTTTCTGTAGTTATTTAAATGGTTGTGTGAATTGCGATGTTGTACACAGGCATTCCTTGTATCGTCAGTCCTGCTTGCGTATTGGTGTTCTGAAATACGTGTTTGGAGGTCTCTTGATGTTTCGCCCACGTATAATTTGTTGCAGTCATTACAAGGGATTATGTATACCCCTGCAGAGGATGGAAGCTTGTCCTGTCTACTACTGGTGATGTCCTTGATGGTCATGGTTGTGGAGGTAGATACTTGGAATGATGTATTGGAAAAGATGTTGGAAACATGTTTGGCAATGGAGTTGGTGGGGAGGACTATGTATCTCTTCTCAGCAGTGTCTTCTCTGGGTGTGTTGAAGATGTTTAATGCCCACCGTCTGCAGTCTCTGATGAAGTGACGAGGATAGTGGAGTTTAGAAAATACTTGTTCAATTATAGTGCATTCTTCCTCAAGGAACTCATTGCTGCAGATTCTGAGTGCGCGCAGGAAGAAGCCTATAATTACACCACGTTTAGTTTTGGTGTCGTGGTGAGAGTAGAAGTGGAGAAGATCGTTTTGGTTGGTTGGTTTTCGATAGACTTTAAAAGGAAGTTCATGGTCAGTTTTGCAGAGAAGAACATCAAGGAAAGGAAGAGTGTTGTTGACTTCTTCTTCAAGTGTGAACTGGATTGAGGGCTCGACCTGGTTGAGCTTGTCTTGGAGAGCTTGAACGTTGAAGCGCCTGGGAATTATGAGGAGAATGTCGTCAACATAACGGAGCCAGGTGACAGTCGAAGGAATAATGGTGGAGAAACGCTCGGCTTCCAGATGTTCCATGTATAAGTTCGCCAGGACGGCACTGAGTGGCGAGCCCATGGGTAGACCAAAAGTCTGTTGAAAGAGGTGATTTTCGAAAGAGAAACACGTAAAGCTGACACATAGTTCAACGAGGTCGATGAAATCGCTGGCTGGAATAGGAAGATCAAGTGAATTGTCAATTTTTCTGCGCAGGAGATCGATGGTTTGTGTAGTATGTACTTTGGTGAATAGGGAAGTTACGTCAAGGCTGGAAAGTTTCTTGTTCCTGATGTTGATGTTGCGAATGCGATTGAGAAGATCACCCGAGTGTTTGAGATGTGCTGGACTGATAGTGCCCAAGAGTTTGGAGAGGTGTTTTGCGAGAATTCCTGAGAGTTGGTGGGGAGCACTGCCTATTCCCGAAGATATGGGACTCAATGGGATACCAGGCTTGTGAGTTTTTGGTAGGCCGTACATTCTGGCAGGTCTGGGGTTGCTGGATATGGTGTGCAGAAGTTTCTTCCCTTGTTCTGAGTTCCTCAGAATGCGGCAAGTCCTTTGAAGAAAAGTTTTAGTAAGGTTGTCCACTTGGTTAGTTGTGAGGGGTTTGTAGGTATCTGGGTCATTAAGTAGATTGAGCATTTTGTTCCTGTAGTCATCAGTGTTCATGATAACAACACCACCTCCTTTATCAGCGGTGGTGACCCTGATGGTCGTGTCTTCTGCTAAACCTTTAAGTGCAATGATGTAACGTCGAGGTATGACTGGGGAGCTGCATGTAGAGATGGCTGCTGAGATGATGCCTTGAAGAAAACCTTTTTGGAAGTCGGAGTCATTGTGTCTAGTTTTTGGCAATGAAATTGAGATCTTGTTTTGGTTTCGTAATTCCTGTTGCGAATTTGAGGCCTAAGCTGAGGGCTTCGGTTTCTGTGGTTGATAGTGGACGAGATGAAAGATTTTGAATAATGTCAGGTCTTCCTAAACTTTTCCAATGACTATTATCACAGAGAGTTTGTAGTTTTCTAGGACATCACCAGTAGTAGACAGGACAAGCTTCCACCCTCTGCAGGGGTATACATAATCCCTTGTAATGACCGCAACAAATTATACGTGGGCGAAACATCAAGAGACCTCCAAACACGTATTTCAGAACACCAATACGCAAGCAGGACTGACGATACAAGGAATGCCTGTGTACAACATCGCAATTCACACAACCATTTAATTAACTACAGAAACTCAAGACTCATCGCCACAGAAGACAACACTCAATACCGAAGAATCCTGGAATCTTCGCTTATCTCTATAACCAACAATTTCAACCAGAACAATGGCTTCTATAACATAGCTGAACCACTTGCCAAGAAACTTCTTCATCGCTATCCCACATAAAAACATAGAACACTGCAGAAGGTCTACTCACAACTTGTCCAATACCCCTGCCAAGCTACCCAAGACTCTATAACCACACCCGGTGGATCATCAGATGCAGCATTCTCCACCTGACCACAACATTCTGAACCTGACTATAAATACTCCTGTACCTTCCACCCCAGGTAGATCTGTTTGTGACTTGAAAAAGCCCACTGTGTGTGCGAAACGTTGTCAATAATTGGTCATTTATTATTGTCTTGGAACATATGCAAAGTATTTAAAGATCCCAGCAATGTTTTACACACTGGAGTATATATGAAACTCCTTGAAGGATGGTGTTAAAACTAGCACTGTATTACTAAACTGCTAACAGGGTAAGCAGTGGTGTGACACTTGATGATCTTGCACTGCTGCATGGAACCTTGGCTTTACTTGTTTTCACTGTTACACATAAACATGTCTGTCTGTGTTTGTCTAGCTATGGCTGTTTATCTGTCTCTGTCTGCCTGTGTGTGTCTTTCTGTCTGCCTGTGTGTATCTGTCTTTCTGTTAGCCTGTGTGTAAGTCTTTCTGTCTGCCTGTGTGTGTATTTCTTTCTGCCTTCCTTTGTGTGTCTGTCTTTTTGTCTGCCTGTGTGTGTGTGTGTGTGTGTCTTTCTGCCTTCCTTTGTGTGTGTGTCTTTCTGTCTGCCTGTGTGTGTGTGTGTGTCTGTTTTTCTGTGTGTATCTGTCTTTCTGTCTGCCTGTCTCTCTGTCTGCCTGTGTGTGTCTGTGTTTCTGTTCTGCCTGTGTGTCTGTCTTTCTGTCTACCTGTGGGTGTTTCTGTCTTTCTACCTGTGTGTGTTTGTCTTTCTGTCTGCCTGTGTGTGTCTTTCTCTCTGCCTATGTGTCTCTCTTTCTTGTCTGCCTGTGTGTGTCTGTCTGCTCTGTGTGTTTGTCTGTCTGCCTGTGTGTGTGTGTGTGTGTGTGTCTTCCTGCTTCTTTTGTGTGTCTGTTTTTCTGTCTGCCTGTGTGTGTCTTTCTGTCTGCCTGTGTATGTGTGCCTGTTTTTCTGTCTCTGTGTGTCTTCTTTCTGTCTGCTGTCTCTCTGCCTGCCTGTGGGGTGTTCTCTGTGTTTCTGTCTGCCTGTTGTCTCTCTCTTTCTGTCTGCCTGTGTGTTTCTGTCTGCTTTTTTTTGTGTCTTCGAGAGTTGCCTCTGAACCACTGTTATTTCACATGTTCTGTCTGTTTCCTGAACAAGTGGAAATGTGTTTTACTTGCCGTTGCCAGTCATTTTTGCTTATCTTGCATTATTGATTATTTTTTGGTTCTCCTTTAGTGTATTTTTACACTATGTTATTGTTGTTTTGTATTGTGTACCTGTGAGAGTAGGCAGAGAAAGAGTAGAGCAGAGATATGTATCAGACATGACAGATGGTATAGACACTGCCGAGCGCCCCGCACCAGTGTTTTTTTCTGCCGTTAGCCTGGCCAGCTCTCCTACCTGTACAGCAGCCCCAGCTCGCTGCCATGTCCTGTGCGCACAGCCAGCCGCCAGCAGCCACAGAGCCACAGAGCCGAGCTAGCCAGCCAGCCAGCGCCGTAGCAAGCCGGAGCCGCCAGCCAGCCGCCTCCAGCAGCCAGCCAGGCCAGCAGCAGCCGCCGCCAGCCACCGCACGCAGCCAGCCAGCCGCCGGTCAGCCAGCAGCCGCCAGCGGTCAGCCAGCCAGCCAGCCGGTCAGCAGCCAACCGCGTCGCACCAGCCCGCAGCCAGCCAGCCGCCGGTCAGCCAGCCAGCCGCCGTCAGCAGCCAGCCAGCGCGCGTCAGCCCAGC